CCTAGTAGGCATGAGCACAGAAATTGCTTTGCTGTCGTATTCTGAGAAAACTATTCCAAGTCCGCCTAACTTGTCGATGGGACATCCTTCAAATTTGCAAGTTTAGTAACGGTGTCCTTAAATCATGTGATATTATTACCAAGTGAATTTTGCCGTTGTCTTCTGTATTCCACAAACCAAATTCCTCGCGTTTCGTCTATTGCTTGCATGTTACATTTTTCTTTGATCCTTCCAAACAGTTGCTATTAAAATTAAGGTTTTGATCTAATCTGTAAGCTAGATAAGAAAATGAATTAAGGTTAACTTGTCTGCTTTTCTGAAAGGGATGCTCACAGGATTAAGTTATAATTGAAATCTTCTTTTGCAGATGAACGGAGCTCTGACCATTGGCACGTTGGACGGAGCAAATGTTGAAATGTGCGAAGAATGCGGCAGCGAGAATATCTTCATCTTCGGTAATACCCTAGAAAACGTCGAGGAGCTTAAATCCAAGGGGTAAGTTAGTTGAACCAAATTGGTGTCAGCGTTTTTCGCATACTTCTGCACACTCCACGTAATAAGTTCATTCATGTTAAGAGCCAGCCGTTAATTTGAGGCAGGGTTTTAAAAATTATGCTCAGGTGAGACAGGTCGAGGCACTGGTCTGTTTTTGGAACGAAGAACGAGATGATCAGTAGGCCACATTCGCAGTAAATTGATTGGTATAGCCCATGTACGCTTAAAGGTCACACAATTATGCGAGTGATGGGCGACCGCTAATTTATAATAGGCCGTGCATGGTACTTGTCGATTCCGAGGAACAAAGAGGCCTTTGTGGCGATCAAAAATTTTATCTGTCTTCGTTGGCTACAGAAAAAGGTCGGTGGGAGAATCTCGGTTATCCTTCGGTTTATCAGTACGCTTTGATTTCTTTTGGTTCTGTCAGTCGATTGCACTGAGCCTCTAAACGCAATTTAATTCTTTATTTTTGACTGATTTTAAACTGCCAATAGAAGTATATATGCGAGTTCCAGGAAGCAGTTCATAAGAAGAGGATGCGACCACTGGAACCATTGTTCCATTGGTCGCATCGTCTTCTTCTGATTCTAAACTCCCTTGTTTTGCAACGGCTTTAATAAAACTCGGCTACTTTGCGTACAGGAATTTCAGACGACATTCAGATATGTGGCCCCAGTGGGTAAACGGGTGGTAAATATTCCTGTAACAGCGGTTTCATGGTTGGAGTAAGCGAAATTAGCAGATAGCTAGCAGATTGTTTAAATACACAAATAAATCGTGCATACGTGAGTGCTCAATTTGAAACACTAAAATTATGAAGTGCGAACGGGCGGAAAAAGTAAAATCGAGGGCATTGGCTAGATAATTCTGACGAACTGATCTCAGCCCGTGATGATCATCACAGAGCAAGAGAAGGTGTGACAACTTAAGACATACTCGAAGTTGTGAACGTTGATAGTCTATATCCTTATGCTAAAACTATGTTTAAAGCCTAAACGTCACCTTTAACACCTTGCACCGAATTGTAATCCGTGGCCCAACCTTAGCATGAATACTCACGTCTAATTCTAACCTAAAATCCCAACCTGTACTCCCTAACACTACAATAAACTCTAAGCTTACTCCTAGTATTTGAGGGAGATTTTGCAGAGCATTATCGAAAGGGAAGAGAGGTTTAAGTAAGTCCAAATAAAATGTATTTCACATATGCAAAGATTATGTCGGACCAGATACTTGCTCTTGGGGAATTTCGCTTGATTGGTGCCACGATACTGCCTTTATCTATTGCGTCCAGTAATGCAGACAGGACTCTGGATGTCTTATGCCGGCGTCCTGACTAACTTAAAGGGAACATTTATGTTCAGCATTGTATGAAACCTAACAAGGATACCTATTTCTGCGCATTTTCCTCTATGTTTTCTCAGTGATGTGGTACATTTATTGGTAGGGATTCCTTGTGGGGCCGCCTGGGGAACGTGTGAAGCGCGCCCCTCAGGTTCACGGGCACCTGATTTTAGGGGGCAGGACGGGCGGGGCATGTCAGGGAACAAATTAGGTTGCAATATTTCTGTGAAATAAAAAAAGTAACGAGGACGAGTTGGGTCGCGTACTCAAACCTTGAGAGAAGACACTGAAATAGGCTTTAATATAATCGCTAACCCCCCGCCCGACCAACGGCGAACGCGTGTATGTAGCGGGGGAGGTTGCTCTAAGCTTGGGCGAGGTCGTTGAGGTACATTTTCTAGTGGAGCCACAAACATCAACTAGAAAAAAGGTTAACGAAATACAAAAGTGGGACGATTGTAGAAATCATCCTACTTAAAATTTGTAAGTAAGCGGTTATTCCCGCGGTTAATTTAAAAGGCTAATTTCGCTTAGTATACTAACTTAAGCGGTTATGGTATGCGGTGACCTTCCGAGGGCCGCTCTGCAGTTCAATGCCATCATCAAATCCCTGCTAGTTCGACGGATTGTATGTATAAAACTAGAAGATTATGGTAATTCAACCTACTTAAAAATTTAAGTAGGTCGTGATAATACATGAGGACGTTTCAAAGACCCTCTTTGGAAACCCTGCCCATTTATTGGCGTTAAAAAAGAGTTTCGAAAGAAAAACTGAATTAACCGATGAATGGCCTAAGACACACTTTACTAAACGAAAGCTTCTGACGCTGATATTCGTGTTTTGTTTCTAGCATTCAGTGGCCCTGAAAAGCTTTAAAACCACGTTAATTGGACAGTTATATTCACACATTTACAACACAGCTCAGTTCATTGCAGAAGGGGTTTTAGCTTAGCATGCTCATCCCTTTTATTCAAAATTTTAACATGCTGAAAAATTGCTTCCACATTAGCACAATAAACGAGAGTTGAAGATTCACCATCGAAAATAATGGCGTTTGTAAATGTGCTCTGCCCAGATTCTTTGCTGTGATTTGGCGTTTTATAAATTTGTGATTAACTCAGGTCCTCATGTATAGCCGAACGAGGCCTTCGAATTTTTCAGACATAGCATGCCTTTACGTTTACCACTGTTTCACAGTATTGTTAGGGATTTTGATGGCCTCCCAAAATTGAATAATTCATTTTTTAAAATTTCAGTTACACTCCCAGTCCTTACATTTCGCACTCGCCCGAATTACGCCAGGCGCTGGAGCAGATTCGTGACGGTTTCTTCTGCCCTGAAGACAGGGATCGCTTCAAACAAATTTACGAACATTTGGCTGGCAACGATTATTACCTGCTCTGTGCGGATTACGAAAAATACATCAATGCCCAAGCAGCTGTGGAAGAAGCCTACAGGGTATTTCTGAAATTGTACATTTTTTTCAAATGTCTTTGAACTTCAAAAAAAGAGAGTGACCATTGTTGGTGTATTTTTTGCCAGCACTTAACTCTATGAAAAGTATATGTGATCGTTGGAACACGAATTCTATTGACCTGACATTTTGAATTCCTTCACGAATCCTTCATCAGAGACAATAGCAAAATCGGATAATTCATACACCGGGATTTGCTGCATTTATAAGACGCAGTCGCTATGCTTCTGCACAGTAATGACAATTAACGATTCCCCTATCGAGAATAATTGCCCGCTTTTGTGCTAATTGCTTGATGGCCAGCGTTTGGGTCGTGGCCCGCTTAAACGGTCGTCACACCCGGTTGTAATGCTAGTAGTTTTTCGAAGGAAGACGACTTTTGCTTACTTTTGCGTCGCACTCACGGGCGATTCGTCATAATGTTGGCAATTGTTATGTGGTTTTTTTACCTAATTTTATTCACGGTGACGGAATGACGCTTTGCTGACAATTTTGAAATGGCATAATCAAAATAAAGCATGTCTCTCTCCCTGTCAGGTCGATGCATGCAACAGCGATGTGACCTTATCAATTTTCGGTTCCAATTCAACTGCATCCCTACATTATATTATTTATATAAATAAATGTGCCTTTTTCCCTTTCTACAAAACCAAAGGATCGCAGACGGTGGGCCCGTATGTCTCTAATGAATATCGCCACCAGTGCAAAATTCTCGTCTGACCGAACTATTGCCGAGTATGCGCGGGAGATTTGGGGCGTAAATCCCGAGCGGCTAACACTGCCACCGCCCATGTTTAATGCCCATGCTGAAGACAGCTCAGGATTTAGAAAAAGTTTGGCTTCTGGTGCGGACAGCCGATTCTGCACTGTCAGGTAAGTGTCCCTCTGAAAGTATCGCAGAAGTTATCTCATACATATACTTTAGAGCGTCTTGCATCATTAGCAGTTAAATGTCCTTTCTCACTTTACTTTTGGCGCACAACGTCTTCGTTGGACCCATTATTTGGGTCCCGATCATAGTTTTGCATCGAGCTGGATTATATTACTGTTTTTAAGACAGTGGCCACCAAAGTCCTAGTTATACCCTAAATAGGGATTACTCATCAGTTTTGCAATGCTGATAGTAAACGCAAATTTATAGATTCGAGTAGTTAGTGGACGTGAGCGAGCAATTTATCTGCCCAATCTTATTGAATGCTACCTTGCATATTCCCATTTCATATGATCATATATAACATAAAGGAAGTCACGTTAGGCGAACGTAT